GTATGTGTTCCATGTTCGCATATCCTCACTTCAAATACTCATTGCCACTGCAACGTGTGTCAAGGTGTTTGTAAAGCCCGAACAAGCAATCAATGATCCTGCAAGCAATTCTTTATTTCAATAACCCGCACGTAAGCCATGCATACTCTACTATATATCCCCAAATAAGGCAGAAAACTCCAACAAACAATGCTCTCTAACCCATCTTCTCATCATCATGAATCGACCTCCAAATGACCATGACTAACGATACCAGACCCGCAACCTCAACTACGGAGATTCATTTATCAATGGACTCCCTCCCGATAGTTTGAAAAATCACAAAAAGCTCCTCTGGCAGTAGAGCTCACTGTGTCACGGAATCGCCCATTTCCTAATCTTCATTAGCGACAATTTTCACAACAGTACGATATCGTGGTGGGCTTACAGGATCTTCTATATTCTGCGTGTTTTCCTTTGTTTCGGTGCCGCAAGGATGAGAGGACGTATTGTTGTCCGCTGGCGGATTAGACGTATGTAGTTGGATTGGCGTAAGTGACACTCTCTGTTCTAGTTTGAAGAGAAAGATGGGTGAGAGTATTCTCTTTTTTTTTTGTAAAGTACTGAGAGCAGGACATCGCTGTTCAAATACTTCTGAACATTCGGAGTGGTAGACAAGGAGCGAGTAATTGAATTTGTCCCAGAGAACTCGTTATTTGCAAGAAGATCTAGCGCTCAAGAATGGGTTGAGAATAGGTTTGGGCTCGCAATTCTTAAAACACATCACTATTGCATTGGGTATATCTGTAAGTATTTAATCACAGAGCCTAGTACCGCTTACCACTAGACTAACTACAATGACATCATACTCCTGCCTCCACCCTAATTTACTAGTGTGAAAACTAGCGTGTGAGCTTGGCATCATATGAAAATGCTAATCGTAAGGCTGAAATGACAATTATTATCAAGACCTTAACGCTTTTAAGTGGCTAGTATCTTAAATAGGGGTCTTTTGGACGCCAGGGTCGCCAGTGAGTTCACTGGCCCGAACTCACACTTACTTGATCACTTTGCCTTATTTCCTTCTATTCCGTAATATGAAGGCCACCATCAAAGTGGCCAAATGTACTAATGATTGAATCATTCCCTCATCATTCACCGCTCTCGATGTCGTTTCTCTCTCAGACAGAGACATAAATGGATGAATACTTCCGAGCCATATTGTTATGTGGAAACTAACTTGGAAATCAACAGTCTTCAGGCAACTGACTCTAAGTCTTACTAGTTGATAACTTATTAGCGTTTGAGACTAGTTGTTATAAATCTGATATCTCATCTAATTTCTCGAGATTAATAGCAATGAAACGTCTCAATAAGCTAGGGTGGGTAAGAGTTAGAACCGTCGAGTAGATTTTCTGGGACTTCTACCAACCGTTGGTCCATAAGATTGTCTGCAATACTTGACTTTTCAACATGAAAAGCGCAAGTAAACATCATTCGCCAACGATCAATGATTTGGGAGCTAAAATCTCCACTATCAAAACAACACGCCAACAAACAAACAACGGAACACCAAATAATCAAATCTCACATCTCATATGTCGTCTCACCTCATATCTTACATACTTTCCACATGTCCATTCGCCTGTAAGCTACCGAGAAATGAGCATCGGTAGATACTTACCCAACAGCCAACATTATACCCATGTAATCTCCAATCTCGCGAAATATCATAATCCAAGCCAATCAAACCAAAAAAGTTATATGCATTGATGTAAGCAGCCTTACGGCACACAGCCAGCAATTCCAATTTCAAAACAACTCACAATTCCAGAGTCTAGTAGATTCGTTCCAATGGATACCAAAAGAAATTATACGTGTAGCTCACTGCCGTATGCAGAACTACATCGACCCTACTGTATGGAAGATTAATTTCCTTCTTGTTGGATCCGTCGATTTCCACCTCTCGTTGGATCTGCGACTTTCTTTCAAAGCTTTCGAAATTACTTTGCATGCTGTATGCACGTGGTTGATGGCACGGTTCTGAAACAATCTTTCAGGACAAAGACAATCTTGACATACCACCATATAAAGTCAGAATGCCTCCCCGCTTTTCGACTTTCTACACTCATTCTATTACACCCTCAACTCACAGAAACTCACAGAGACTCGAACACTGAGTCGAAAACAATGTTTTACACAATACCCGTGGATCTTGGCTTCGGCATCACATTACCCATCCGAGAGCTCAAGAAAGTTCGGGGGAATAGCAGAAATGGCAAACGCTCAGCCAGATCCCTACGCCGGCTTTCGTTTCATTTCAGCCGACTGATACCCCCTACTTTTACGGTGCGGCGATTTTAGTGTGATTTGCTGGTTGGAGGGAGGGAAGTGACGATCTCTGATGATTGTAGTTTTCTGATCTTTATATTGGCAGATGAAATTAAGGAACTACGCTTTTAGTAGGGCTCTTCCCTTTTCATGTCTTTTGCCGTTGCTAACTACTATTTAGACAAGCGATGAGCAAGATGTCAACGATACCTCCAGCAACCCTTTCAAAATCAAATTCTAGATCTCCATTCGAATCTCCTATATTCTTTCAGCCCTGCGGCAGATGTTTGGTCTTATACGCTCGCGAGATCGGTGCACTCAGCTTTGAATTTGAACTTTTGGCTTGTGGCAAGGAAATCAGGATTGGATGTGGTTCTGCAGCGCCTTTGCGATACTGGATTTCAGGGGAGGTGGAGCACAGAAGACTACGGAGCTGAGCATGGAATCAAGACTCCTATGGATCCAGGGCGTTATCGGTGTTGAAGATAGTACCCATCAAGGAAGACGTAATTCCCTAAGACAGATAGGAAATCAGGGTACTCGTCAATTGTCCTCTGACTTTGGAAGAACATGTTGTGAGCAGCATTAAAATCAATATTCAACAATGAAATTCCAAACGACATTTCCACATAACTTTTTCACGGCTTTTAAGCAATACTTCTTGAGATCTATCTGAAGAATGTGGTAATAGAATTGTAGAGAGCATCATTAAAAAAATGCACTAGCAGCTGTTGGGGCTTGACACACTTGTGATACCTCATCAATATCTACGGCGTTGAATGAAGCCAAGTTCTCTGGTACAAGAATTCAAAAGTTGCCCATACCTGAAATATTAAAAAGTAAACATCTAATGATGTATTTCCCTTGTATCTTTAAGGTTACGGACCCAAAATAAGGTGGGGGCTGTCAGAGGCTGAAAATCTGACATCAGAAAATTGCCCCGGTACTTCAAAACGATCCTTCAGCGGTAACCATCACTATAATCCACAGCGGTACTCTGGCCCCTTTTTCGTAGTAGCGAATCAATCAACTAATTAAAAGCCATGCATCAGTTCTGTAACCGCCACTAGGGAATTATCTGTACTGTTCGTGCCGGGTAGGTATTTTTGACGTCAATCCTTCACTTAGAGCAGTAATCCAGAATACAAATAGATATTTCGTGTTTCCGCGTTAAAACGGTATGACTCTCTTTTACTTTTTCTGCTTTCGAGTCTTTTGATTTTGCACCCACAATCACACGATGCGATCAATTGATTGCTGGTGAACCTTTTCACATTTTGCGTGACACATTACAATCGTTAATAATGCTTCAAATTGTTACTCTCGTTTTTATTGGTTGGCTCGTAGGATTGGTGGAGGGACAATGCTATAGTTACGAGGGAGTTGAGATGGATCCGACATATAAGCCATGTAATGGTTCCGCACCCGTCAGCATGTGCTGTCATCTGGGAGTCATCAACAACGGAGGAGACGAGTGTGGCTCTGGATCTACGTACGGTCTTTGTGGTATAAGTGGGACGCAACTTTGGAGAGAGTCGTGTACGGATAAGACATGGCAGTCTCCATTGTGTTTGCGGTTGTGTGTTGGAGGTATGGACTCTCTGATGTATAGTATACACTGTAGCAAGGAATTGTAGCTGATGAGTCTGGAATGTAGCAAACGATACTGAGATCACGGCATGTCCGAATGGTAGTTATTGCTGCGGGAAGAATGCAGCCGATTGTTGCAACGCGAATGCAGGAAAATTCATAGTCAATAACCAAGTCTCGGATACAGCAGCGGGGGATTCTTTGAGCTCTCAAACTTCCCAAACTACAGCTAAATCTTCAACGCCAATCAGCATACAAGCATCGAAATTTATGTCATCTACTACTTCTGGGATACTATCAGCTGAAGTCCAAACAAGCACTGCCCAAACATCAGTCTTAATCTCAACAGTGTACCAACCCCTACCGTCATCAACCTCGACGACCTCCTCCTCAAATACAACACAGTCTTTATCAATAGGCGCAAGAGCTGGGATAGGAGCAGGTGCTGGGGCCTTCATTTTGCTAATATCCATATTCGCGTTATTATGGTGGAAGCGAAAGCACCCCAGGAGTAATGTGGCAGAACTTCCAGCTACAGAAACCAAGCCAACATTCTTCAATCCCAGAGGGAGATTGAGGCATGTAGATATACTGGAAGCGGATAGTACAACGTCAAGGGCAGTGGAAGTTCATGGACACGAACGGCGAATTGAGCCTACGGAGATGCTGTGAATTTAGTCTCTCGGATAAAAGACCTATCCTTGGGTGAGGATGGTGTAGTTAATCAGGGTTCTCCATGAACGAATTGAAAATAGATATCATTGATTCTCATCAAACTATAATAGTAGGAATAGTTTCTTCCCCGGCACCTTTGTCTGACAAGAAGAGAAGTAACAATGATGCTATTCATTTTGGTGTTTCGTTTCGAGAAAGGAAGGAACGCCCACTAGCGCGACCATAACCCCCCCTTCAAACCGAAAATTCTTTCTAGGCTTCTGTCTTCTTTTTAACAAACACAGTATGTATTACTCAATGAAGAGTCCATGGATTGTTGTCTGATACATATAAATGATATTGATTACCGTGCCGCCCATTGATACATAATGACACCTGATCGATCCTCACAATATACTGGATATTTTTCCAATTAATGGGATTCGCTAAACAATTTCCGGTGCAAACGATGGCCCAGGCGATGACATAGCATTTCCAGATAGGCATCTGCGCTCAGCGTTCTCTATCATTCTGTCGACACTACCATCGATCCAAGATGGTGAATTCCCTGTCCATAAGCCCACCAACCTTCTATACTTCACCAGCAATCGATCAATCTTGCTTTTCTCCTGAGCCGCTAGAGCTTCATTCCATTCAAGGATTTCCAGCGAGTATTTGTAAAAGGATATATCAACATCGACTTCCTGATTGCGAAAATCCTTCAGAATCTCAACGTATTGTTTACGTAAACATTTTGCATCATCAAATTTAGCGATAGTGAGTGGCTTCAATGCTTCGAGTCGATTCTTATAGTCCTGAAGTAGTTCTTCGCCCATAACAGCAAGAGCACAGAGATGGAAAACCGAGCCTGGCTCTGCGATAAATCCAGACGACGCATCCACAAGATTGTCTTTCACCGTTTGCCATTGATCCACGTATCTAGTAGAACCCCAAATTAAACTCCAGATACTCTGTGATGGCGATACGTTGTGTAGAATCGAAGCTTTAAGAAACGCTTTGGTCAAAGTGATACGCTCTGGAAAAGGAACGTTTTCGTCGATAGTTTTGAAATAGTTACCGCCGGTGAGAGAGGAGCCGAGTAGGTTCTTGCAATGATTAGGATTATCTAACCATGAAATGGCACAGGCCATATATTCCCCATCCGATTGCCATTTCTGTAACAAAGGTTCGAAGACATGTTCGGCAGGATATGAAGTATGGATCAAAGGAAGTAGCTCCGAGAGTCTCATGGGCCGTGAAGGAATGGATATTTCTGGAGCCCGACCTCTCGCGGGACTGTAGGGTATCGAAGGGTTGCAGTAGCCATGTTGAGGTTTCTCGAGAGAGCTTTGAGGATCGGATGATGACGATAACAGATTAGTGTTATGTGCTGAATTGTTCCAAATACAAGATTGAGTAGGATATTCATTCATGAGTATATCCGTAAAGCTATGCGGGTGGGGTTGATTATCGTTCAACAATAGGAAGAAATCGGCATCTTTCAGATCGTCTTCAGTAAGTTCCGGTTCAACAGAGGAAGTCGATTGTGGATCTCGGGAACATCGGGTGCCACATTTGTTATTTGATTTGTATTTCTTGATTCCCCATTCGCGAAGCATCATTCGGTACATGCGAATACTAGAAACAAATGTTTAGTATTCTAAAAGACACCTCGGAGGAGAGAATTATTGTTCGACTCACCTTGCACCAAATCCGCGAGTCGATATCAAAGTTTCCCTAACTTGTTCCAACGTTTGCCCTTCTGTCACGTAGAGCTGCTCCAGCTCTTCCTTTATGCTTGCCCAGTCCTTTGGCATTGCCGCGGTTTATTCATTTGATACGTACAGGCCTTTGATGATGTAGAATCGATTCGATTCGAGTTTCCATTTTGCTGGACTTATCAGATATTGAATGGGTCAAACCGCTCATAATAATAATGATTGAGAGGAACATCAGATAGGCAAAAGGAGCCGCAGCCTCGTCTCGAGTGAGTGGCGTGGCGAATCATTCCTGTGTCATTCATTCATCGCTGTCTGTTACTGTTGACGCGTTCCGTTTGTTGCGCAGTCCGCCAAGTGTCTCGCTGCTTCCCTGTTTCCGATGATGATATAAGCGGACACCTCTTGACCTCGCCACCACGGTGTGAAGTATTTGTTGTATTACATGCTAGTACAGTGCTGATGTTAGGCGGTTTTCCGCTACTTCACAGAAGAAAGATTCTAGAAAGTGCTAGATATCCACGAAAGTGCAATTGCACTTTCGAGAATACAAGCTTTTTGTGTATGCTTGTACATGCGAATCGTACAAGAGAGAGTGTATTATTGGCTCGTTTACCCTCCTGGCTCTCTGTTATAATTGAAGATCATAATTACCGCAGTCATCCGCGATCCGTTTCCCCCAAGTTTTGATTGTGAGCACTGAGTGAGCACCAATCATCAGATAATCTCATGATGTTTATTAGTTTTACTCTGAAGTTCGGAGTATGAGGTTGAGTTTTTGCTACTCTCCACGGGTTTGTTAGATGACTATTCTCCGCCCGAATTAGCCAAGAGATCCTTCGAGTTATTTATCACAGAAAGATTGAATCCGGATGTCGTGGCGAGTGACGATTCAGTAGGCAAAATGAAGCGTTGCCCTTTTTGCGGATTGCACTTTCAAAAATGCGAACTATTTCACATTTGCAAAGTGCAAAACGGATTCGTATGTTGAATTGCATTAAGTAGTGCTCAAATCCTCAAGATGTTAATTCTCTATTCAATAACGTTGTGCTTTCAATGCGAAGAAAGCTCCTCGCAAATCGAGAATCTCAGCAGCGATTTCTGTTCAAACAAATTGAAGTTGTCAGTTTCTCAGAAATGGCCCCCAAGTACTCGGGACACAGAAATGATCTTCGCCGATATCAAGCAGGGTATGTATCTTATCAAATATTTGTTACATGACCTCGGCACAGCTTCACAACTTTTAGTCTAACTAGAACTGCAGCACTCATGGGGTTAAGCAACAACACTCATCATCTCAATCAATCGACCATTCCTCGATCGACACTGTTCGTCAAACACCACACAGTGTACACACAACCGCCTCAAACACTCAAATCGATCCACAAATTTTGAACCATGAGACCCTCAATCAACACACTATTCACCAAGCCCAGCTAACCCAGAATCCATACCATACGCACGTTATCTTACAAAACGAGATCCGGACCCTCCAGAATGGGTTCAGTTCCCTTGGTGTCGACGTCCCATTTGATCTTTATCAAAGTAAAATAGGCGGATACCACGCCTACAGTGATGGAATAGAGAGTACTCCTCGGCAGTATTTCACTGCCGACAATCCATACGACCCCCAAAGCCAATCATACACTCCGAATCCGATCTCCACACAACCTCATCCGGTATCCCACGGATACTCGACTCAATACCTCGCCCCCGCGAGCACAGCCTCACACACTATCCAGCCCACAGAAGATGAATGTACATGGTCCGAAATAAGTCATGGGCACGATAACAACGAGCAAGATGTGATGGGTTCGAGCAATGAGCTGTATGGTACAGGAGCTCAATTTCAAGTCTCTTCACATGATGTTCCACGATGCTTTGCTTCGGTCTCTCAATTGGAGATAGATACAATGGAAGAATCATCATCACCTACCACTTAAGAAAGATAGAACTTTTGATGAGGTGTTGCAATCGAATAGAATTGGTTCAGATTTTGAAAAGGCAAAAGTTGGGATCCAGGCAACAGGGGAGATACTAGACGGGCTAGTTCTCTGAGGGTTTGAGCGACCAACGTTTCAGGCTTGGGACGTTCTTATAAAACATGATATGATAGATAGTGTAGATGTGATGATAAACGGACATAGGAATGGCAGCAACAACACATCTCCTGACATACGAATTTACGGCAAGATCATGTGATATAATTATAATCTCAATTGTCATGCTTTTTGTGATCATACAAAACTTCCAACTTCTTCACTGAGTGACGCTGCGCCGAACTCTTAAAGCGCAATTACAACCACGCCACGTTTGTCGTATTGTAACATATGTTTATCAATTGGGCAGATTACTCATTATCCTGGAACAGAAAACAACCAAAATCGCACTTTGCCAATCAGTTGATCCCTCGACCGTACAGCGAGGGACAAACTCTAATAGACTCTCGTTTCTAAGAACAAAAATGGTGTGGCTGAACCTCCATCCTTGTACCATACACCGATCAGTCGAAAAGTGGCAGGACTGTTCATGCGAGCACCTGCATGCATACTGGAAATGCGAACAAGCATATGAATGATATGATTGGGGATCGTATTCGTGCCAGCCACAACATAAAAATTTACCAAACGGGGTTCGATGTGGCTCGTTTTCAATTCTTGTCAATTGGCTGCTGTGCCAGGAGACCGAGTGACCAGTATGCATCTAAAATCAACGGAGCGCCGGAAAGATTACAACGATGGGTAAAAGTCTGACCCTCTCGACCGCTTGTGTATTCTGCTTCGAAGTTTATTATTATCAAGCTCAAAGAAGGAGAAATGATTCCAATTCCAATACATTCATTCACATCAAAATGCCAGAAGGTGGGCATGGCGGGGTAACTTTATTAATCCTTAGCGCTGGAACTTAGTGTTCTCTCAGCGCTTAGCCTGTTTTGAATTAATTCCCCTCTCTGAAATGATTTGTCGAATAGAAAATAATAATAAAACATACCAAGCGCCTCATAACAAATCAATCAGTCTTTCCTAGAGCGCAACGCTTGAAGTATTTCTCATGAAGAAACTTCCTCGACCTCTTGAAGTTTCATTTTCATGGATCCGGAAGCCGCTGAAGAAATGCGACAGACCTCTAGGTTTGAAGAATCACTGCCAATTGCAAAATGAACGGATCAACGACCGATGAATTATTTTGATCTCAAAGCGCTACAGAGAGCGAATGACGGGGTGATGAACTGTACAACTAAAAACACGATTTAACCTCAAAGGCGCCAAAAGTGATGGTCGAAGTAGTAGCCGGCGACTTTGTCGTCCAAAGTAGCTAGAATTGAATATTGGCTAACAACGCGCTGATCTCTGGGAATTTACCCAAGAGCGCGACGCCGAAGGGACGGTTCAATGTTATATTGAAGATTTTGACACTAAAGCATCACTACGCCGCACAAGTGCCGGTGGGTTCGACGCTATAAACATGTGATGCGAACTTCTCTGAAGGAATGCATAATTCCTTCACTGGTGAAGTAAATAGATTGCAACGTTCTTATCTCGTGGGGGCAGCACTCCGTGTTCACAAACTCCATAAAAAATTCATTATTCACCATCACCAAACTCCCACTTTTCCAAATTGAGCGCCAATTTACAATTCAGCGCATAGGAATGTTTTCGTTATCCAGTATGCATCTTGCACAATTGGAACAATTTTTTTTTATCGTTGCCATTGTTTACTGGAGGGAGTTAATTGTAGAAATGTTAACCGCTGAGTGGAGGCGGTTACCCCTCTAGGTTCCCAGTGACAAACTCCAGTAATCTTCAATTGCCATGCTTTCATGCACGTCATGTATGACACTCGTGGAAACCATTGAGCGCGCTTCCCCACTATGCCAATTGTACCTATCAACAAGACAATATCACATCAATATCAGATACACTATGGGCCAATAGTTTTTCGTCGCAGGGTGAGCAGGAGAAATATATATCTCCCCATTTGCTCTTTCGAACAAACACAAAAATCCCAGAATATCAAAGATACAGGAATTGTACTTCGTCAAATATCATCCGCAACCATGCAGAACACATTCGAACATCATAAAACCGAAATCAAGCATCTGTTCTTCTCGGAACAGTTGACTATGTCTGCAATTCAAGAAATCATGAGGAAGAAATACGACTTCAACGCATCGTGAGTTGAACTATCGTTGACGTATGTGAACAAACGCTGACAGTTCACAGAATATCGGCATACAAGACCAAGCTTGCTGAGTGGAATATGTTTATTCCACTCTCAAACAGTACCAAAATTTTGAAGAATCGACTTCTTTTGGGTAACAGAAAACGACCCGAGCGCCTATATAACATCCCGAGGCCTACTCCACGCTCTGTTCCCTTGACACCTCCGTTGAGCCCTCCGGTATTGAAGCATCAAAATGGGAATACTCGCATCAAGCAAGAACGGGTCGCCCCTTGTTCTATATCTTTAGTCGTCCACTCGGGCGAGAAGAAATCGAGGGAGTCCTTCTATCAAGAGGAATACATCGTCATCCTTGCAGAACTTCGCGGAAGACTTGGAGCTGCACTTGGCCGAGAATCGGGTTGAAGGAATTCAAGCACGTAAAGAGTCACCAAAAGAAACCATGAGTTTGTAGCAACGCAAGCCAAGCATACATGTAGGAGGAGAGAAGGGAAACCCGATGCAAGTGGGCAAGGGCACGAGGGAGAGAGGAGCATAAGAGTTTCGCCAAGAAGACTGAAATGAAGAGAATGCATATACATCGTGGAAGGCAAAATACGTGAAGGGGCGGTTGTGATACGATGATCATGTAGGCGATTGGGGATATCATTTTAGCTCATAGCTCCTAGTTCAGGATTTGTCTAACCAGATACCTCCTCAGAAGAGGACTTCAAATACCTTCTCAGAGGGGGACTTCATTTCCAGATAGACAGCCTTAGGCCCTTCGAGGAGAAACACCTCTAAAAGAAAATGGAAACCATTTTACAAGCGTCTAAGAATGTCCTCAACAACCTCTGTTGTCGTAGCTTTGCCACCAAGGTCAGGGCTTAGCAACTTGCCTTCCTCCAAATTGCCGTCAACAGCAGCATAGATCTTAG